GTTGCCAGCAGTTCAAGGGTGGTGATCCTTTGCCTCTATCCAGCACTGGTGAGGCCACACCTGGAGTACTGTGCCCAGTTCTGGGCTCCACATACAAGAGACACAGGCACATACTGGAGAAAGTCCAGCAAAGGGCTACGAAGATGATTATAGGACTAGAGCATCTCTCCTATGAGGAAAGACTGAGAAAGCTCGGACTGTTCAGCCTGGAGAAGAGCAGGCTCGGGGGAGGATCTTATGAATGCACATAAATACCTGAAGGGAGAGTGAAAGGAGGATGGAGCCAGCCTCTCTTCAGTGGTGCCCAGTGACAGGACCAGAGGCAGTGGACACAAATTTAAACACAGGAGGTTCCTCATGAACATCAGGAGACATTTTTTCACTGTGAGGGTGACTGAGCACTGGCACAGGTTGCCCAGAGGTGCTGTGGAGTCTCTATCCTCAGCGATATTAAAAAGCTGTCTGGACATGGTCCTGGGCAACCAGCTGCAGGGGGCCCTGCTTGAGCAAGGGATTGGACAAGATGACCTCCAGAGGTCCCTTCCAACCTCAGTCAGTCTGTGATTCCTGCCCGCAAGTGCTTAACGTTGCTGTACATACCAGTTACAAATATCTGAGAAAGTAAACTTATCTGCACCACTCTGAACATAAAATGGTAAAATTTATGGACCAAAAACTCTTTGACTTATTCTTTGAAAAACTGGGGGGTGAATGGGGGACTGTAAAATAAAAGTGATTCCATCCCTGTAAACTTCCCTTAAAGATCTAAAAATAAATATCTCTAATAAAACACATCTTTGGACGGACAGAGATAATACGATGACTACAAGCTCAGTATTTAAACAGAAATAATTGCTTGAAAGCCTAAGGGCACAAACATTTAGAATCCATAATATTTTCCTCTTTAGTAATGTTGTAGCCATTCACCTTTCACTACCTACACTAAGACTGCAGTACCCAAGTAGTTTTATGTGCATGCACATTAAACATTCATCACAAAAGCTAGATGCAAAACTTAGCACACACATTTACAATCATATTCAAGGACTAAAATATTGTCCTTTATCATTGTTTGGAACAAGGATATAACAATGTTGCAGATTGACTCACAAAAAGGAAAGGTTTTGTTATTGTTGTTGTTGGGGTTTTTTCTGTTGTTGGTTTTGGTGTTTGTTTTTTGTTTTTTTGGTTTTTTGTTTTTTTTTTTTACACATACAACTCTTTCAGGAATCAGTGGAATAGTGGGTGTCTAGAATCACAAATTTAGGCTCTATGTACTGAGTTCTAGAAGTCACAGCTGCAAAAAAGGTTGTGTTGAATTAAAAAACCTGGAATCTTAACATTGTGTGTCAGGAACGTATCACTGACATCAAGTGGTGCAAATCAGAATTGCAATACTAAGCCACTAAAGAAAGTCATCCAAACATGGCTGATGTTATGTTTGAAAGTTGCAAAGTTAAAGAAAAACCTCAAGAAGATGACAAAAATTGCAGTGTGTCACTAAGTTAAATTATGATCCTACAGATTGTGAAGTAAACTGTTTCATTTCATATGTTTTTAAGAATGATCAGAACACCTTTGAGCCTCAAAAAGGTGGACAAACCCCTCCCCTATCACTCCTTCACACAAGATCCTTAATAGGCTTGGACAGGAAAGGTTCATTTTCTTCGACAGAATTCCCTGGAAGTTAAGAAAACTAGAAGATTAGAATAGAGAACCTATTTATAAGTAATTTCTTCACAACTTATTAGTGATGAGTAATCCACTTCAAGCATTCACATTTTTCTAGGAATCTATGGTACAACAAGCACCCTGGATGTTGTTCTGCTAACCTAGTTTCTCCTACTCCCAAAGACAATCAGGATAGCAGGAGCTAACACCTCAGATTAAAGTATTTCTGTTGATACTTGTTTAAGAAGTACGTTTTTAACCATGTCATGTGTCCTAATGGTTAGGGATGGCAGAAAAACTGCTGCTTTGACAGCATTAGTTTCAAAAGAATGACAACTTCCGCTGCATAAATATACCAGATCCATCACAAAAGCTATTTGAAAAACACACTGAACTGTCTGCATGTCTTCCTCCCTCCTACAGTTACTAAAGACTGGCACAGCTATGAGCTTCCAGGACAATTACATACTGGTTATGAAAAGGGAGACCCGACTACACAGAATAACCATGAAAACATTCTAAAATTTGTCTTATAGGATAATACACTCCTAAACATGGCAGCCTTTATATCAGAAAAACCAAACAGGTATCATAAAAGAAGAAAGCAAGCTCATTATATTCTGATACACATGAAACACAAAAGAATTTTGACGTCACCGTCAAATGTAGGTATGTCTTCTTACAAAGCATTTAAAGGAACTCATGCTTCACGAAAGAAAAAGAACAGGAGGATACCAATTTTCCAGAAGAGAGATTCTTTTTAATGTATTTTCACCACAAATGAAAGCCAATTCTGAAGCTTCTTACCACTTCTGTTGATGTTTCTGCATGCTCAGAAGTAACATGTTCTTGAAGAGATGTTTCCGTATAACCCATTTTCCCACAATAAGGACAAGTAAAAGATTGTGGCTGCTCTACAGAGAAAGCTTCTCCACCATAGTACAAATCTGGAACAGAAAGTGTTTAAATAGAGGTTACTTCAAAGCAGTAGCATCATTTATTTTGTTCATGTAAACCTGTTTATAGATGTACTTCAATGTAATCACCGCAAAATTAATCTGGTATGTAATTCAAATGGCTATTTTAATCTTGTATAAAGGCCATAGACTGATATTCAAGAAGCGTTCAATTAGTGATGACAAAAACCAGACTACATTTCATTTTCATTAGCAAACATAACATGGTTTTCTAATATTCAGGAGGAGCAAAGACTCCTATGATAATGATGCTGATACTTTTCCACCACCCTTCTTATCCCATGTACAGGGTCACCTGTGGTATTTTTCAATCGTAAGATGAGTTTTCAAAAGCTGAACTCTCAACAGTACCTCAAAAATTTAGAATAAAATTTAGAAGTCCTCAGTGATACCATATGTCAATATTTAATGCCATAGCTGAACCACCGCTTCACAATAAGTAGTTCTAGAAATGTCTGAAATATATATAATATAAAAGACTGATAGTGAAAAAGGAATCTGATTATCTGTTACACACTGGTTGCAACTTTTAGGTGTACTGAATTTAAGCATTTTAGCACTACTGATGAAAAGCAGGCACTTTTAAATTGCTAACATAGAAGTTTCCCAAACTTAACACGAAAATTTATCAAACCATGCAAGAAAAGAATGCTTTTCTCTTTTGTCCTCCGCAAGTATTGTGTATTCTACAGGAAACAGGAATAAACTTCACATTCACATCAAGATAAAAAGTGTGATTTTCTCCAGCAAGTAATTTAAAATCTCTTCACTGACATCTTTTCCTGGACTCACTGATAAGTAACTGAAAAATATTTTCATAGAATTATGAATATTCTGCTATGAATTAAAAATTGGAGAAGTCTGAACAGATACTAAAACTCATGTTCTGCACCACAAGGCAACATCTATCTAATGTGTTAGGAGTATGTCCTTCTAACGGCTTAAGTCGCAGCTTCCTAAGGTTTATGACATCTTCTGCTACTGATCTCTCTTTAGGACATGACTAGGAAGAACAGAACATTTTTTTTTTCCTGCAGCCTTACAAAAGATGATGCTTAAGCTAAAAATGTACATATCTATAATTCACTACATTAACAGATAGTATTTTACATATAACTAGGTTTGAGGGCTAACACTCCAAGACCAATACAGGAAATAAACTTCTTAGTAACATGCTAATACGCAGAGTTAAAGATACAGAATCAGACTGAATACACTGCAGAATAAAGTTTACGTTCAGTAAGTCCCTGTTCTCCTTATTTGGAAACTGCTTCCAGAGAATTTAAATGCTGGAGGATGAGAGAAAGATAGCCCTTTAACAGGCATGGTAAGAAATGCCGTAGTAGACAGACAGCCTTGCCAAAGAAGAAACACTACATGATACACTGAGCATTTTAACTGGTTCATCAAATTAACAATCACACTAAGCTTCAGCACCATCCTGAATCTAGCTTCATTTATTCACATACATATGAGGAAAACATTATGTCCAACTATCCAAAGTAAAAAGTTCCCAGCCAATTAAGTCTTAGTTCTCCAGAGCAGCATTTGAGGTTCCGTTAAATGTTTTATACAATAAGGCACAGAGAATGGAATCTCATTTGGAATGGAGGAGAGAATGGAATCGTGTTTCAGATATGATTGAAACGGAGAACTACACAGACTGAAAGTCAGCATAAATGTAAGTTGGAAGACAAGCCCAAAAGATTAGCACCCCCACCCCTCCAAGATGAAAGTCGTTTACATAGTACAGTCACAAAGAGATGCCTGGAATCATTATTAGAGGGAAATCCCAAAGGTCCTTGCACATCATGTATCAGGACTCAGTTCTCAATGCATCCGAGTCACCCAACACATGAACAATGGGCATTTCCCTGACAAGTCGTCATGCATTCAGCTGGCATCCTAACGACGAGACATGTGGTATGTCTTAATTCAAAACATCTGTCCTTACCTGATCCCCTATAAATCCATGGGAAGAACCAGTGAAGCCATGAAGAGGAAGGTCCACGTTCCCACATTTGCGGCAGAGGTCACTGGCCAACACTTAAATATACCATATTCAACTGAAGACGACAATACTACCAGATTGGAAGAAAGCTTCTTACAAACTCTTAAATCTGCTTGTTTGGTTTATAAGCGAAGGAGCAATCAGCTTTAGAGTGTGTTCTGAATGCTCAAAAACAGGAACAGCAGCAAATTCCCCCATGTCAAAGCTTTTAAAACTATCTGTAGTTCTTATCCATTACTCACAGTAAGCTTGTGTTTATTCTACATGAGTAGATTGGTACTGCAATTACTCTGGCAGGTGACCAGAAAAACTGGGTCTGAGGCAGGATTACACTATTAGCATTCAGAACTCCGACAGTCCCCATGTACAGGTGTTAAGCAACATCATCCTACAAGATGAACCAATTTGATTTACTTACATGCACAACTATCTTTTGACTTGAATAGCTTCTCTAAAATTACTGCACACATATTTTCCAGGTGGTGACCAGTCTTGTTTCCAAGTCTTCCATTCTCCTCTACTGCAGATATGCAATATGACATGCAATGAAGACTTATATGAAAATTAACTTGCTCCAAGTTTGAGGTGTTATGGAGACTGTTTCAGATAAAACACACAGAAGATCTACATAATTCGCAGAACTCCAAGATTTTGGAGCTCCTAACCAGTGCCACGTCAGTACATATTTCACTAAGTACTCCTCTGAAAGTTTTTCCAAGAATCACATTCAGAATCCTATTCTGACATAGTCAAAAACCTGAGCAGGGGTAAAAAAATTACCAATATGCTGCAGCATACTCAAATATGAAGAATTTACATATATTGTGGTTTCAAATGAGGAAAACACAAACGAGGTTTACATGGCACAAAGTTCTAAGCAGTCACTAAAACAGTCTCTGAAGGGATCAGCCATACAGACTCTGGAACAGATATTCTTTCAGAAAAATATGTCTGTAAGGCAAAGAATTCAAAATGATGTGTCTAGAACAGATAAATACAAAATGCTTCAATAAAGACAGATGAAAGAATCTTCCTTGCAACTATATGAAGAAGAATTCTAATTAAAGCAGCTCATTACACAACTTGTTACAGTATATAGCAAAAAGGAAAGCTTTGAAAGCATTCTTACTTCCACAGTGTCATTGCACAGAGGAAGTGTAAACTTCAGTTCTCACTTTTTCAGTGTCCTAGAAATATACCAGAGTTGGAACTTAAATAAAGATCCTGAGAACAAAGTAAGACAGCCAAACTTTTGAACTGAATAGTTAAGAAGAATTCCAAATTTAACTGCATTTAATCTTCCCAAAACAGCACATGCAAACACTATATTGTTCTCTGAAGCTCAATAATTCAACAAGAACTTTTGCAAAAAAATTCTGCATACCTGTGGGAATAGCAAAAATGCCAGTCATAAATACATCAAAAGCTAATGACAGTTTGTTCAGTTATCCTCTGATTTCCCTTAAGCTTTGGTATGATCCTCATGATGATGACTAAATACCTATTTACCGATTGGAAAACTGAAATTCTCTACCACTGCAAACATACACACATGCAAGAACACCAAGTCAAATTTTCCTTTGAGGATTCTTTCTAGCTGAGCAGACTCATTTCTGGGAATTTTCCAAGTCCTGGCATCTGGATAAAACAAGATGATGATGACTCAAAAGAGGAAGATAACGAAAAAAGGGGCAAATCATCTTATTCTTTACAAGATTTGCATATAAAAGTAACTTCTGCATCTACTATCTAAAAAGAAAAACAATCCCTCAAAATTATCAGGTGGTCTAAAAACCTCTACCTATACACCTCACTGCTTCACAAATGTAAGTATTTTCAAGTAAGGCAGAAGCACCAACTCCAACTTCCCAGCTGAGCAAAGGGCACAGGGCCACAATCAATCTGAAGAGAGTGGTAAATAAATTAGCATGCAGGTAAAAATATCTTTTCCTTAGATATGTTGTTAGCTCAGTCCAGATGTCAAGAATTCCTGCAGTACACGCTGTTCTATCACAGAGGGGAGAGGTTTGACGAGTACTGTCAAATCCTGTGTTTCTGGTCCTTGCTTTTAGGGAATATGAAACATTTATTAATTAAAAAAATAAAAATCTGAGTTCTTTCCAGCCTCCTGATTACACTCATTTTTCTCATAATACACAGCAAACGTACATGCACATGCCAAATAAATATGCCTTTATTTGGAAAAAAAAAAATGTTAAAAAATGCACCTGTCAGAATTGAAATCAGTCACTGGCAAATCCAATTATTTTTCCTTTGGAAGTTTATACCTCCCTTCTCTTTTCCTCCTCAACTTCAGTCTCTCTCCACCTCTTGCAATCAAAATCTGTACCTTTTCTAAACTGAAATACAGGTCACCAGATAAGTTTTCTTTTAAACTATGATGTAAATTTAAAAAAAAAAAAAAAAAAAAAGAGGTTGGTAATGAAATGATATCATGAATCTTTGTGTCTAATTTTAGCGTTGAAGTTACTGAATGGATATTTTTCCACCTGTTTCGTTTTTACCAGTACATCAAAAATCCTAAAAATTATGAACACAGTCATGTTATTGACTATCAAAGGCTCATTTGCTAAGGAAGATCCTAGCAATTAGAGGTAGTATGGGAAAAAATGAAAAGGTCACACCTCCATGGCTGCTGAAGCGAGGCAACCTACAATTGTATTACTGTCTTCATTTACAGTTGTGTTACTGTTATGATGCAGCTGGCCCATGGCCAAAGAATTATCCCTTCTGGCCACAAAGAAATCTTTCAGATAAGGTATTTTGGCTCCTTCCAAATACCTTCCTACACAAAAGCAGGACTCCCCTGGACCTCTAAAGCCCTCTTTTCAAAGTAGCTAGGAAGACAAGGTTGCTTAGTAAAAAAGAACCGGACTAAATCATATCCCTCTAGGAGAAGATTCATTACCCAACTGCTTATCAATTAGAGTAAGAATAC